AGGAATACATGGATATTGAATAATACGCAATGGTACTAAATTACCCGCAACTAGGCCGTGGAAAACCGGCCTGCTCCTGGATGATGTGTGGCCCCCAGGGCTACGAGAAGTTTGACGCGAGCCTACACAACGAGAAAAAGAGAAAGAAAGACACAATGTTAAACCGCAGCGTGCGTATACGCGATCATGACAATCATCCGTCACTGTCCTTTTCATACCCCGTTGTGCGTCATTCGATGCAGAGCGGGTGGCCTGGGTTGCACCGCTGGGTACAAGTTTGGCTCGAGCCGGGGAGGCATTACTCGAGAATACATAACCGTCAGGTACATCCCTACAGTGACCCACCCCCCCCCTCAAGGCAGAGTTGTTTTCATGTGAAGGCTTCGCAACACCTGCGCCACTGGCATGTTCCCCGCTTAGCTTCAAAGTCGAGGCTGGCGTGGGAACGGCTTCCACCTTAACATGTGCGGTAAAGTTAGGTCGCTCTATGGTGGCGTCGGCGGAAGAGACAGAACCTCCCTTGCCTGTCAACCCCGGTTCATGTCGCCATGCCGCGTCTTTCCCTCCATTTGCTTTCCCGTCTACCAGCGCCACCCCTGGCTCTCCCTCCTCTGTCATAACGTCTTCTGCCAGTCCTTCCGCATTCCTGTCCTCTGTTTCTGCATCTTCCTGCGCCACAGATGGCTTTCCCTCCTCTGTCTCTGCGTCTTTTGGCGCCATCTCCGCATTTCCGTCCTCGGTATCTGCGTCTTCAGGCGCCACCTCCACAATTCCGTGATCGGTCTCTGCGTCTTGTTTGCCGACCTCCACATTTCCGTTCTCGGTCTCTGCCTCACGTTTAGCGACCTCCGCATTTCCGCCTTCGGTCTCTGCGTCGTCTGGCGCCACACCCGCATTTCTGTTAACGATCTCTGCGTCTTCCCACGCGCCCTCCTCATTACCATCCTTTGTCTCTGCGTCTTCCCACGGCCCCTCGTCATTACCATCCTCAGTCTCTGCGTCCTCTGGCGCCACATCGGCCGTGTCATCAGTTGTCTCCGCGTCTCCTCTATCCACACCCGCTCTTCCAAACTCGACATCGGCGTCCTTTGTCGCGACCTCCGGTATGGCGTCCTGCGTCTCCTCGTCATCAGTCGCCTCTGAATCCTTTTGCGCCTCCGTCTGTGCATCCAGTAACCCCCAGTCTCCTGCCTCTGTTTCGGCGTCCTTAGTTTCAGTCGGTCCGTACGGTGCAAGTCCCAAGTTACGACATGGCGCTTCGACATCTTCGTCAGACATTCCCTCATCTAAGCCAGGGCCTGACCCCGGCCTGCCCAAGTCATGAGGTGCATGAGGGTTGAACTCGGATAGCATCCACGCACCGGAGACCCTCATAGACCAGGAGCCGTATTGTTCCTTTGTGTCGACCAAAGGCTCCTCCCCTAGTAGTTGCTCTCGTAGCGACGCTCGCCTGCCGCGCAAGTTCTTCCAAGCAGCCATCTCACGGCGCAACCAAGTTAGGTGAGAGCACGACTGGCAAAACGAAACCCCAGAGGTACAAGTTTAGGCTGGTTGATGTCCCCTGAGGTCCAATCTCGTTCGCGCTATAGGCAACTTCTAGTAGTTTCGATTAACGAATTTCATATGTGTGCGTCACTAAGCATGATAATCTCATGTCTCGTTGTTGTACTAGCCGATGTGTAATACTCCCATCGTGCACAAGGACCAATTACACTGGGTTACATGATCCCCAAGGTGGCAGCAATGCTAGTAGGTGATGCAGGTTTCTTGATATTTCGTAACTGTTTGAAAACCAATAAGTACCCTGTACAAACATCTAGTCCTAAAGCAAGCAGGACCATGTTCACAATATTACACACAACATTACTTGTTGCTATAGGCCACACTCCATGAAATGAAGTCCTGAAGATACTTGGCACGCCATTGGACGCTTGATCCATGTGCCACAATGGTCTTCACGTCTTGAAATCTGGTTTCAACGAGCGCCTGCATAAACTTCATAATGTATATGCCACAGTCGTCAGCGTTTTGCTGACGTGGCACCTGCATGTTCAGCGTTCAGCATGCCAACAGTGTGCGTCACGGTGTTGCTATAAGTGGGAGAGCAAAAGAGCCTTGCACATTTACCTCAATTGGCGCGTAGCGTATCCCGCTCTCCCATACCTCTGCCTCTAACTCCGTAACGATCGGATTCAGGATCATCAGTTGTTCCCGCAGGAAGCTGCTAGATGCAACACAGTACAATGGTCCGTCTGTTACGAGGTAACATCATTCTGCCCGCACTGACACGTCCCGTACTATCAATACTACATACCTTTTGATGGGTGCGTCGAATAACAAGTGCTGGGAGAGAGAGTCTGCGTGGAGAATCCGTGGCGGTAGGGGGATTATATCCTCGTCCACAGGCGGGTTGTTGTCCAGCAAGACAAGGCTCCAGTGATTGCTGTAACGGATGATATAGGATGTAATGCCAGTCCTAAGCAAACACTCGGGCGATTGTAAGAATGAGCCATCACTACAGGTTGCTCAGTACGATTGTAATGGATCTTACTCTAGGTTTATTGGGATGAATACCCATTTGAATGTCAGGACGTTCTCCCCGAATGTATAGTTGGTGCATGGAGCCGATCGTGAGGGTCGTTGCATTAGGTCGTACAGATATGTGCTGCAGTACAGCCACTCACGACGGGATAAGTCGTGTTCGAACTGTAAAACACTACAGATAGGTGCAGGAAAGGTGATGAATCAGAGATTACAAGCTATTTGAATGGAAGCTTTGGCATCTTCATTCGAAGCTGAACTTCGCACGAATAGTACTCACATGCCCCACCACTCGATGATGTCACCGCTAACCCACTTGCCTGGCTGCAGGAAATCTGCCTCGCGAGGGGAGATCGTCAAATAGCCGCCTCCTAAGGGATATGGCATGACATACTGCTCAAATGGTTTAGCGACCTTCTTGTTACGCTTCCTAGCCATCTGCTAAATCAATGGAGGCTTTCTGGGGAGGTACTGGTTCGGTGGCCGGGTAAGTGACGGCGTAACCCTAAGTCTATGCTATGTCATTTTGTTTATCGGATGCCGAGCAGCGAAACCATTGGGATGTGTAGCGGCGGGAGACAGGTTAGGGACAGTTTGGGGACATGGACTGAATGTTGACTCTCGATTACGTTGGGTTACCGTATTTTGGAATGTGCAATTGCTCAGTGGTCCCACGGTGTAGGAAACGGTTTGCTATGCTCCAGAGGGTCAGTGAGCTGGATGTTAGCGGTTGTGTGGGTAACATAAGCACCAGAGGCCTGCTGTGGATGTGGTTCGGGCCTATCGAGAAACGACAGGCTGTCACAGGGACATACAGAAAATTACACCAGTGGTTTCCATTTGCTCGAAGCAGTGACGAGGAACCCTCTATAGATCCACGTGGCATAGTTCTGCTGGTGAGATGTGAGATGATCGACTTGCACGAGGTGATGTGGCAAAACCACGGCGCATTTTGCACCTGTAATTTGGTTGAAGGACGAGACTGCATGGAGCGCCCATGAAACTGCCCTGTGTGAATATCCACGGCTGAGAGTGGCCCCCGGGGAGTGTGATCAATGAGGAATAAGGTCCTACGGGGTCGATCCGTGAGCTCCTCTTCTATTTGACGATTACAAGCACGGTAAAATTTTCTTATCCCTCATGGGAATGCTACGCTCACACCAGGGCGAACCTTACTAACTTAGCGTGGCATAGGCGCTATATTTTGTTAGGTAAGAGTGGAACAGCCGCTCACCATGTGTGCCGCTGTCGCTCGTCCGGTGCGTGTTAGACGTCTTCCCCAGAGGCTTGATGATTTCGAAGGCATAAAAAGTGGAGGTAAGTCTAAGCCGTCGACTGCACAATGGGCGGCGGATGTGGAGGCGACTAGGACGTTCTTGAGACAACACCGAGTGTCCAACCCTACGCCCAAGGGTTATTTGGTAGCGGAGCAAGCCCCGGACATCGCTGGACCCGCAGACCCGCCCATTAAGCCGTACGGCTTCACCGTCGAGGAGAGGCTTGATTTGCATGCGCAGCACCGGCCTGGCCGACGCAAGCCGGTGAAAGTAGTGGAGGCTCACGACAGTGGAAAGCAGGAGAAGCACGGTGCCACTGGTGAGCATTGCTTGGACTAGGCATACTGTTTTGGGGCCTCAATTCACAATTATTGCATTTAGATGAGTTGGGTTTACCATTCCGTGGCTCATTGTTGATTTAGAGATCCACCATGCAGTGAGTGACCCAATACCCGTGGCGAGCGGCGAAACTGATCATGGCGGGCCAAGAAGCTGCGAGGGTGGGCTTGAGGCTTTTGTGAACTACAACGCAATCCTCCATACGGTGCCGTTTTCTGATTGCACCGAGGCGGAGTCGGAGGAGGGAACGAACGAATCACAAGCTACGTCAAGCAGTGGCGATAACAGTGCGGACGAAGAATGGGAGGCATCTGGCAGCGAGGCAGGAACTGACTCTGATGTACCGAGAATAGGGCGTCTAGCAAAGAGAACATGTGGCGGCAGGGAGAGAGCATCTACACACGGAAGGTACAGGGGGGTGAGCAAGTGCCGCAGTTGATCCCCGTCGCAACAGGCGTGGCCTCGGCCGGGATGGCGAACTATCAGCAGCACAAAGCCCGTTATGGAGCCGATGGCGCGAAACAAGCGCTGAATGGTCGGGCGAAGGGGGAAGCTGGTTCTACTAGCCCTCATGTTCACTGTTCACCTCCTCCTGGGACGAATCGCAAGCCGCCACCCATCGACTGGAGTTCACCAGAACATGGCGGTAAAGGTGCTGCAGCGACCGAGTTGAAGCCGTCGACGCTTCTGACTCCAGCAGGAAGTGAGCCGGTACTCAATGCTTGGAGGCAGTGGTCGAGCAGTCCCACACAGCAGTACTACTCGGTCAAGCGTGGACCATTGTTCTCTCCTGCGTTGGTAAACGCTGGTTCAACACAGATGTCACCTTTGGTTCATCGTTCTATGGCCAACGCAGAACGTGGAACTAGCATGGGCGCTGGCCTCCCTGGAATGGTGCCAACGCCTTTCTTCGATGGTGGCGTGGGACAGACTCACGACATGGAGGCAGAGCACGGTGAATCGTCCCCCGAGGAGGGTGTTGGGGATGCCGGAGGAGACGACCCAGAACTCTTAGAGCTGACGAGGCTGCTCAACAGCGTTTGCCAGCGACGTGGCCGTGACATTTCGGGTATCCTTACGGCTGCTGGTAGTCGTGGCACTCCACTGCTAGGTGCTGATGAGTTAGAGGCATTGGCGAGTATTGACAGTTCTGTCCGCAGGCACGAAGAATGTGGAAAGGGCCCCATCTCTGGGTTAAACAGGGGTGACACGCAGGCAGCCGCGAGTAACATACCTCGAGCTCCCCCTATCGCTACGGACGAGAACCCTCATGCTTTCACTAATGACCATCATGAGCCATCACCACAGCCTACCTCACAGCCCGCAACCCCACCCCAGGCTGTCGGCCACGCTAAGGCTGTTGCACATCGCGGGCCATTGAACGGAGGGCTTTACACCAACAGACTCAAGAAGGAGCGTGACCACATCAACAACACCAACGGAGGTGCACCCGGCCCTGTTCCTGCGGCACAACCTACACGGGTAGGAGTGCATGACCAGCGGAATGACACGTACCGGACAAGAGGAGCAGCGTACCGCGGGCATGGCGCAGGGGCTGCCGAGGGCTTCCAAGCTCGTGGTGTGAAGCGGGAAAGGAACGTCCCGCTGATGACACTCATCATTGACTATGATCCGGAGAGGAGCGGGGAGGGCTTGATACGTGGCATGCCGTCTCCAGATGAGATCGTGGTCAGTATGCGCACGGAGTACCTAAGTAATTCTGAAGCTACGAGTACGAATGGCACTAATCCAGGTTTCATAGGTTTTTTTTTTTAGCCGGTTGCACCACCATGCCATGGCAGGAATCTTAGCCTAATCTGAAAGCCAATTTCCCAAGGAGCATCAGATGACTTACCTAATGCTGTTTGCATCTTTTGACCATGACCTGGTCCCGTCACCAGGTGCACGCAAAGATGGCAATGGATCTCCTGCTACGCAACGGTGCGGCCCGAGGTGTGACCCTGTTCCCTTCGAACACAGTGAGGAACGAGGCGCTACGTATCATCCTTCGTGCCACGCATGACGTGAGCTACGTCCAGGTCTGTTACGCCATGTCCAAGACGGAGTACAGTACGAAGGTAAACAAAGTGTGGACGAAGTTCAGGAACGACTCGTCCTCTATGGCACGCTACACGATTGTCTGCGGGCTGGGGATAGACGTCGTGGGAACGGGGCTGTACAAGTATGAGCTGGACACAGCCAGGAAGGCAGAGTGGTGGGAGACCCTCGGCCCACGTACGTATTGGTCCAATGCCATTATCATTCTCTACGCATTAACTTGCCTCAACCCCATTTCAGTCCCTAAGTAACTCTGATCCCATCTATCCCCTTCACTGGGTGGCAGAGGAGCACCTTGGGCACAAGGTCTCTTCGTGGAGCCATGAGAAGGGCGACAAGAGGCCCTTCACCAGCGCCCTCTTCTTTGCAGCGTGCAAGGCGGCATACCCTGAGTGGGTCACTGCTGACGGGATCCTTGTCCTCGTCCCCTATCACATAGCGTGGGTCCTGTTTTCTGTGAGTGCTCCGCACCCGTAGCCATGTTGGTGTCAGTAAGAAACTTTATGTTGGCAGGCTCCTTCATACCCTATTCCATCTAAACCCACGGTTTATTGTTTGTGACAGTTCGACTATGGCATGACCAACATGAGGGACAAGTCAATGACTCTCTCACAAAGCCCCCTGACCAACGAGCGCGAGATGGTGGAGGTGCTGGCAGAGGTCGAAACAGCCATCAAGATGTGGCTGGCCGTGGCGAAGGGGCGCCTGTACGTCCCTGAGATGGGGGCTTTCAAGTGGGGTGAAGCTGGGCTGTTTATCAACGAGAGTGGGTTCAATGAGTATCTGCCGGAGGAGTATCAGGTGCGACCTGCGTCGCACGTGGGAGACGAGGGTCCGTGGATGGAGTGATTCAAGATGGGTGGTCATGCGGGATGGGACAGTGGCGGGGATCTCTGATGGAGCAATCCGGGGTTTTAATTTTGTTGTTTTCAAAAAAAATTGTACACCGGTTGCTAGCTCAAAAGACCTATATGATTGATTGAGTAGAATCTTTTGTTAGGGCGGCATAGGTTGGTGTGGTTGTTATATGTGTAGAAATGTTTTAGATAACAACATTAATATAAGACATTCTATGCTTTCACGAGTATATCACAGTAGAGTACAAATCTGCTAGTAGGACAGGATGATGGCCATTGCTATTTTCATAGGGTCCCAGAAGTGTCCCGAATGTGTCCGTGGGGAGTCCTCCATGCTACTGGCGCCGAGACTCGAATGTGTCCGAAAAGTGTCTCGTAAGACAGTTTCGAGTCAGTTGGGCGTGACCCTTTCGGGACATTTCACCTAGTCTCGAAAGTGTCTTACGAGACACTTTTCAACCTGTCCCGAAAGTATTCGGAAAGAATCTTTCTAGACAGTGGTGGGACATTACATTTTGGCGATGTTCTTTCACACATCGTCCCATACGATTGATCCCACGATGTGCCGGGTGGAATCACTTTTCGGGATTAAGACGGTGAAAATGACGAACGTGCGTATCATCTACCTTCCAGCCAACACAACCACCTTTGTGCAGCCCCTGGACCAGGGCCTTATCGCATGCTTCAAGATGCGGTTCCGCCAGCTCAGGGTTGCAGAGCTGATTAAGGTGTTCGACGAGGGTACCAGTGGCGCCGAACTCCGTCGCTCGAAACCAGGGGCTAGACTTACCGTGACGTGGATTGGTGATTCAGTGAAATCTATCGATGCAAGCACTATTCAAAGGTGCTTCTGGCGCACGGGATGCCTTCCTGACCAGTGGCTGCCGCAGCTGGAACACGTGACCCCAACAACGATGGGCTCACCTAGTGGAGTTTCGCAGGCCGTCATTGCAGATCTCTCAGACGCAATTCAGCGTCTGCAGCTGGGCCATAGGGCAATGAGCCCTATGGAGTTCGTGTGCTTTGACGAGCTGCAGCCAACGAGTGAGCTGATGGAGCCGAATTTGGAACTCGGAGTGGACTGCGAGATGCTCAACTCAGAATTGTCCTTCACCATGCAGACCATGACTGCAGATGCTCTGCTTGACCGAAGTGAACGTCGTGTGGCGCGCCAAGCCACAGAAGTGCTCATCACTTACGCTCGGGCGAAGGGCATCCAGCCCCGTGAACTTATTGACGAGCTCGAAATTGGAAGTAGTGTCGTCATGGACCGTCTTGAGCGCGCCAGCCATCCAACAATTGACCTCAATGTCGATGCAGAAGAGGAACGGGATGACATGCAGCAGATGCAGGCTTGTGCGCCCTTTGCAAATGAGGCCGAGCTGCTAGCTTTTGCCATGGAAATGCTCGGTCTAGGCGTGGCTTAGAGTTTGGCGGTTTTGTCAACCAGACGGAATTTTTGTGGTTTGGTTCAGTGGTTATCCAGATGTGTCGTGCATGCCCTGTTTCGTAGGTGTCCCCCTGTGTCTGTGTTTCTATTTGCTGCAGGTTTTCGTTCTCCTGTCTATGGCAGCCATGGATACCGGCTACTACGCGTGCCTTTCTGATGGTTCGGCGCTCTATTTTCTTCTTTTGTTTGAGTGGATTCGAGTCTGTTCGACGGGAGGGTTTGTGGCATGGCTTGTTTCTTCAGGGCTTGTTTCTTTCCATGTGCTGTTTGAATCTAGTTGTGTTTCCCCATTTTGGATTTACCACTTGTGACCCCTCCCTACCGAACTGACTGACTCTGGTTTTGATTGGAACTTGTGTGTGCGATCCGTCTGGTTGCAATTTTGGTTTGACTAGATTTTATTTCCGTGTGAAATGTCAGGTCATGATGTGAAGACAAAGTCAACAGACCATTTCGAATGTTCTGATTTGTCGCTAGGTGTGACAAAAGTTAGAAGAAGAAAGAGGAATGAACTAGCAGAAATGGGGATACAAATAGCAAACCCTAGAAGGGTTGTACTCGCTATAGAGCACCCCACTACAGGCTAGAACATAAGAATAATATTCTGACACACCCCCATAGCCAAAGTGGGGTGTAATCAGCAGAGCAGGCAAAGCAAAACAAGCTCAGGGTGGATCACAATGTCACCACACATTCTGAGCACAAGTTCAAGAAGAAATAGTTTAGAGTTCACAATTATAAGCAAAGCTAGTGGTAGTCACAACGGGCAAGTGAGGAGGAGGAGGGAGAGTGAGGGGAGAGGAGACAGGAGGCGACGGCTGAAGCTGCAGAGACACGGGCAACAGGAGGCAGACTGGCACAGCGGCTACCGGACAGCGCCCGGACTACAGGAGTAACAGGCCCCGCGGCTCAAATAGCGGCGGACGGGCAACGGACCCACGGGCGGCTGGCACAGCTGGCTACGACTGGGCTACCGGGACAGCGCCCCGGACTACAGGTGCTGCGGACGACAAGCCGGCAGCCTCCGCTCAACCTCCCGCAAACAGTCCCACCCCCCTGATACACACCCACTGCTACACCGCTAGCTCTACTCCCACGCACCCCCCCTTAAACCATAAACCCAGTCTCCCACACATCCACCCCCCTCAGCGACAGCTGCAGCAGTGGGAGACGAAGGAGGAGGAGGAGCAAAGGGAGGAAGGAAGACCGGCCACCCCCATACCCACCACCCCCCCCCGAAGGAGCCGCGACGGGCGACGGGAAATGGCAGGGGGAGGGGGGGGGGGGGGGGGGGGGGGGGGGGGTGGTGAAAGGGACCCACCACGGGCCTGGTTGGAGGGCGGGGCCGCGAAAAGGGGCGGGGCCGCGACGAGGGGCGGGGCCGCGAAGTAGGGCGGGGCCGCTTCGAGGGGCGGGGCCGCGACACAGGGCGGGGCCGCGACGTAGGGCAGGGCCGCGACGGTCGGGCGGGGCCGCGACGTAGGGCGGGGCCGTGACGGTCGGGGCGGGGCCGCGACGTAGGGTGGGGCCGCGACTGTAGGGCGGGGCCGCGACGGTCGGGGCGGGGCCGCGACGTAGGGCAGGGCCGCTTCGAGGGGCGGGGCCGCGACGCAGGGCGGGGCCGCGACGGTAGGGCAGACGCCCGCCGCGCGCCTCGGGGCGCACAGCGGGCAAAGAACCGCCGCGCGCCCCGGGGCGCACGGCGGGCAGAAAACCGCCGCGCGCCTCGGGGCGCACGGCGGGAAGGAAAACCGCCGCGCGCCTCGGGGCGCACGGCGGGAAGGAAAGGTAGCAGCGGAAGCGAGGTGGAAACCCACCCACAGGATCGATCCAAGGGGATCGACCTGCTCTGATAGCATGACAAAAGTTAGAAGAAGAAAGAGGAATGAACTAGCAGAAATGGGGATACAAATAGCAAACCCTAGAAGGGTTGTACTCGCTATAGAGCACCCCACTACAGGCTAGAACATAAGAATAATATTCTGACAAGGTGCACTGTGTGGTTGTCAACATTAGGGGTGTTGGTCACATGCACAGTGGCGCTAAATGACAGCACTGTTGACGCAGCTCCCGATTGTCAGAACGTTGATTAACAGGGTGTAGATGCTCTTTGAGCATTTTTTGTTGGGCCAACATCACAGGCATGCAAAACAGTCTGGTAACCCTATTCGATTGTATGCAAAACCGTCGATACCCCAGTTCCACTGCGCAAATCTGTCTGGTACCGCCACTCAAAACACTGTGTAACAGCTGACGCAGCACAAAAAGGAAGCAATACTTGCAAGAATGATTACGCTTTCGATTTCTTTTCATTCTATTCTTACCGCTCCTTGTTTGGCGCCTGACAACGATTCCTGCGAGCAACTATTTTCCGTCGAATGTGCACGACAATTTCGACCGAAAACTTCGTTGGAATGAAAGTAATATATATATTGCTACCGGATACTGTTAGGGCAGGCAAGAAAAAACTGAAACCCCTAGGGACCTGGACTTATTTCAGGGAGGGATCAACCCTAAACACGGGAAAGGGCATTGTTTTTAGGGTTGATGCCTCCCAGGTTGCATCCCTTTCCGTTTGGGTTTTATTTTTTCTGCAGGTGTAGCGAACAGTGTTGCTCATATGGCAGAACAGTCGCCAGAATATATCGAATTTTAGAGGAAAGAAAAGCATAGTAAAAATCCGTTTTTGAATTAAATAGAACCGCGATTCCAGGGCAATATGTCAATACCTCCAAAACCGAGGTATCGTCGGTTTTGCATACAATCAAATAGGGTTACCATACTATTTTGCATGCCTCTGATGTTGGCCCTTTTTTGTTGGACTCCTCTCAATCAAGGCCGGCGCCCCAGATGAAAGAAGGGAGGCGCTCGGGTTTTGGTTCTTCACAAGCCATGTAATGTGACGAAATAGCCCGCCAACATCTCTGAGGGGGTGTCCGAAGTGAAACGTCGATGGATGTCGGCGGATGCCGGCGGGTGTCGGCGAATCCTGACGGTCGGAATATCTGATCCGAGGGCTGATATGTATCGACATCCCCAAACGGATGTCAGCGGATGTCGACGTTTCACCCCCTAATTGTACTTGAGGGATCCCAAAATGAGCACTGACCCAAGTTCTTCCTTGAATGAGCTCTGCTCTGCTAGGCAAGCCAAGCGATGCGTGTTGTCGGGGTTTCGTAGATCTTCGTCTCAGGAGCTTATCAAACTTGAAACGAGAATGTTCAAGTTTAACTAGGGCCTAGGCTTAGGAGCCTAGGCCGAACTAGGATATCGAGTAGGTTGTTCCAAGGTGTGAGAGACGAGAAAGTTGGAATTGGGTTTCACTATAGGTTTCGATGAATATATAGCAAAGGAAACAAAGAAGGTGCACCACCAAACAAGTTTATAATAACTACACTAACTACAGCTACAGGCAGTTACAATAATAAGTTCTGACAGAGCTGTCGTAACCATTCGCCTTGTGGTGTGCCCCCCTCACCGAAGTGGTAACTCAAACCCTACCGTCGAGTAATACTTGAGGACAATCCCGTGAATTCTGGTGGTCGATCCAACCAATGAAACCGAGGCCCAACATTCTGCTTGTAGCGGGTCAGTACAGTTCACCCTTCCATCTGCTTATGTTTCTTATTCCAACACAGGTGTATGCAAGTGTGGTAGTAAGGATTTGTCTGGGTAGTATAACCTCTCTACTTTCTTTCTGCTTCGATTCTTGCTTACTGGTGCAACTCAAAGGCCACTGTCTGCTGTGTCAAACTGTCCTGATCCACGAAACATAAACTGCAAATACACAATCTGGAACGCCCTAAATGAAAGATAGAATGCAGCACTGGTAAGGTGCCTATCTCGCACATTCATATGCTTATATGCTACTCAATAATGCTCTACAATACAACATTGTACTGACAAGAAAGAAAGACAAATCATACTAGTCCAATCATTTTTTCTTGTTGCAGCAAGGAACATCGCAGGACGAAAATCAGGACCTGGTCCCAGTTCTTGTTGAGTGAGCAAGAAGACACTTGTGATAATGTAGGAGGCAGGCTGGGTCTGGCTTTTTCTGCACTGTACAAGCGGACATGCTGCCATATCTTAGTGGGAGCTTTTGCGGGGGGGTTTCGTTTCGACATTCTTGGCATCAATGACGTACAGTACATTGCTACTAGGGAAACTGAATTTCCTTTCCACCGTGTACGTGAAGTGCTTTGTATGTGCTTACTGTATGTGTCATGTGTGCCCCAATTCTGGCCTTGAATGCTTCTATCACTTCATGTTTCATGCACCTCATCTCGGGCAGCCCATACAGTAATTTCATCGGCAGTTCCGGATGGCAGGAATGATACTGTAGAGAAGTTGTCGCGCTGGAGGGACTGAGGGGCGATTGATGGGAGGGATTTTTGAAGGATTGGTGGAAGGAAACTTGCGCACTTGTCAGTGGAGGCGGGTACTGATGGGTGTTACAAATCTTCATACCGTAGAAATATTGTACGGAAAACCGACGAACCGAACTGCAACTCTCACTAGTTATGTGTGGGCACGCGGCGCCACCTCTCCCTCCCTGAGCTCCCCCTTTGGTTGGTGTCTGGTCTGTTGGTGGTGTGGTGTGATGTGTACGGCCCTGTTCGATTGCACTTCATTCTTTGGTACAGCCCCACCTAAGTATAGCCGAGTCGGCCAAGGGTTTCCGAACCTGGGGTCACTACCTTCCAGATGCAGCTTGATTTGGGTTACAGTACTGACATCTGTAGAAACAGTCCAAGCCGCAACTGTCAGAACCGCATAGTCAAAGGATACACAACAGTCCAAAACTGCACGTCCAAAAGCACAACTCATTTTCCGTTTTTTTGTTTGTTGAAATTTGGACTCCATAAGCACCCTGGGCAGAAAATGGATCCGTACAAAAACAATTCAGTAGTTCAACGGGAAAATTGAACCCTCTTGGGTTTAGGGTAATTTTGTTTTTAGATTTTCACGAATACCCCACCAAAGTGCAGCGGACTCGCTGTCGTTTGAGCACCAAGCGTGAAACAGAACTCTTCAAAGTCCATTTTGCCCCTGGATCACTGTTCTTGACCAGCTGGCAAAAGTGTTTGGACCGCGGTCCGCAGTGAAAATTCCCGCACCAGATTTGTAGGTGCCCCGAACGTACTTGAGGCTCTGGTTTGGATCTGCCAAATCTCTCGGCGGGTTTAAAACCCTTGTTAGCCACTGCCGAGCCTTTACCGAGCCACGCAATACTTTGATAGGGCTGTGGTACCCCTGGACTTCAAAGCTATCGAACAAGGCCTAGGTGTGATTTCGCATATGTTGCGTGTATTCCCCCCCACCTCTCCACCTCCCAGCCCCTCCCCTCCCACCCCACCACCTTCCCCCCTCACTCCTTCCTTCCCCTCCCCTCCCCTCCCCTCCCCTCCCTCGAATCAATCTTCTCTGTACTGCAGTGTTCATCGATTGTACAGTACGTGTACAACTGGATGAATCTTGGGGAGAGCGTCGTCCAGTCAGCGCACGACACACGGATGAATGGGCTCTTTTCTTCTGCTGTTCTTTCGATTCCTCCAGTTCACCCCTCCCCCAAACCTCGTCTCGTTCTTTCTTGTTCCATTCCCGAGGCTCTTTTCGCCTGAGGTAGTGTGGTGTTCTGGCTCCCCTCCCCTGCACTCTCCCAACATAACAGATTCAAGAGAGTTGCTTACCAGTAACAGCTGCGGTAGGGTGCTCCGCTCCGGGCTTCGCGTCGTGATGCTGTCGCGTCGCGTCGTGGCATGCGCAACTTCCGACGACTTACCTCCTTAGGACGCGCTTCTGCCGGTCCTGAGGAGGGAGTCGCTTACAGCCTGGCTTCACATTAGTGAATGTCTGCACCGAGAACGGTCTGCGTCTAAGTTTTTATTCGCATGAATGGGATGTAAAAAGCAGCATGTTGATTCGTGATGGACGGACCCGGCGATGCAGCGTGCAGCTTACTTAGCTTATCCGCGATAAGCCGGCCGAGTCGTACGGAGCTCGACTTCTCGAACACGAGCCTCTTGCCGTCTTGATTTTTTTCTGTTGTTATTTCTCGAATCGGATTTCATTTTCCGATTGTTTTCCTCCCGAGTATCCGAGTCATTTATAACTATCATCCTGAATCGTTGACCATTGGAAACGCGGCATACATGGAGGGTTCACGATATTGACCCCCGTTTAAAGCAGCGAGAGATCTGTTGTTCTTCTAACGAGGGTTTCAGTTATGGTAGCGGGAGGCACGGCCGTCGTCTCCCCTTCCGCCCCCTTTTCCGCGAATCCTTCCGCGTGGGAGCAGCACAGTCAGGCGCAGCTCCCCCCGTTCTCCGCCACTCCTTCCGCCACCTCCGCCATTCCTTCCGCCATTTCTTCCGCCGCTCCTTCCGCCGACCCTTCCTCATCCGCTTCCGCCAAACCTTGCGCATCCGCGGACATGGCTCTCCGCCCAGCCCCGCCAATGCGCTCATCAAGCGAGGGCAGCGGCGCAGTTCCCGCCTCCTCCGGAGTCGGGCTTTGCGCGGACGCGGAATGCGCGCGCGGAGGGTATGTACACCGTGGAGCCACGCGGGGAGCTTGCGGCGGAGCATGCGGCGCAGTAAGCGTTGGCGCAGAAATCCGTTCCGCGGCGGACTCTTCCGCGGCGGACGCTGGCGACGCGCAGCTGATATTCTACGTGGGGCTCGCGCACCGGGGGGTTGTGCTGGCGGACTACGGCAAGCAGAGGAAGCTCCTGCGTAGCCTTGTCGCGTCAGCGCTCCTCGAGATTCCGCACCACGTCAGCAGATTCTCCATGGTGCGGACCGCCCGCGTCCCTTGCTTCTCCCGCCAGCCGGCCTGTCGCCGCACATTGCTCTCGTAGCTCGTTTTCTCTCTCTTTTTGTTGCCCTCTCGTTCCGCTGCTCTCACCTCTTCGTCTCACTTTCTTTACTTCTACTTCTCCCCTACCCATTCCCGCCTCCCGTTCTCCTTCTGAGATTTCTTTCCACCTAGCTTTGCTTTCGCCTTTTCCTCCCTACTGCCGCTGTCCCCCACCCCTCCCCAGCCCTCATTGCGGGGTCTGCACCTGCCCGTCGCGTCCACCTCACCTTCCCCTCATCCCCTCGTCCCCCTCCCCTTCCCCTCCCCCCCCACCCCCCCTTCTCCCTCCCCCTTTCTCTTCTCATCCCCTTTCCCTTCCCCCTCCCCTCCTCATCCCCTTTCCCCTTCCCTTTCTCCGTTCTTCTCCCCTTTCTCCTCCCCCTTCCCCTTCCTCTCCCCCTGCTCTACCCGGATCCTAGGGTTACGGTCGCACCAACGTCCTGTTCGCCGTCGACCAATCAGGGCTCGCCGCGTTTGCAGTCGCTGACGGGGCGCTGGACCGTCCGCGCGCCTACTCTATCCTGAGTAGCATCCGATGTGCTTATATCGAGCTCTGCTCGCTCTCCGTCTCCCGCTCCCCCTCCTCCCCGGGCGCCACTCTCCGCTCCGCCTCCCCCCCTCCCTCCTCCACCTCCGCCTCCGCAATTCCCCCTTCCGCTCGCCGCGCCTTCTCCCCAATCTCCGCGCGCCCTCCCCCTTCTCCCCCGCTCCCCGCGTCGCCTCCCCCGGACACTCCTCCGCGCCCCGCCACCGCGGATCCCGCGTCGCTCCGCGCGTTCGCCAGGCGATTGGCCGGCGGCGTGGGCCACATCAGCAGCTCGAGCCGTTTCAGCAGCGGAGCGTGCCACGTCAGCGGCAGCGGGCACTGCCACAGGCTGAGTCACAGCAGTCGTGGGGGCAGCGGGCGCAGAGAAACGCAGGGCGGAGGGAGGGAGGGTACTTTTGTCGCTAGCAGTGGGGACAGTGGTAGCGATGGTAGCAGTAACACTTGCAATAGCAACGTGACGATTCGCGAAAGGGGAGATTCCGGGACCATGATAGGAAAGCACGAGGAAGGGACGACTGGACATTTGCTGCTGCTGAAGCAGAGCAGCGAAGGTGGATCCGCTCACTATAACGGGGATGCAACCGCTCCCTCTAACGCGGATAAACCCGCCCCCATTAACGGGCGCGGCGGCGCGCCTGTCTTCCTGCGTTCGCGATCCGCGCGCCAAGCGCACGTGATTGTACACGAGGCCCTCGAGCCGCGCCTGGAGGTGATTGTGTGGAGCGTGCGCGGGAGATTAAAACCCAAGGAGCGGCTCGAGTGCTACCCGGACGCGCCTCGGGCGTATCTTGTGAATCACTGCCAGGGGGAGAGACCAGGAGGGCGGAGAATGGCGGACTTAGGGGGCAGCGGAGAAGGGGGCGGGGGAGGGGGAGCGGGAGGGGGAGGGGGAGGTGAGAGAACCGGTGCTGCTGGTGTGGGTGGGGGGGGATTGGGGGGAATCGGGGGAGCGGGGGTAACCGGGGGAGCGGGGGGGATTGGGGGAGCGGGGGGCCGGAGGATGAGCGCGCGGGAGAGTCTTTTGAGTGAGCTGTCAGACGCGCTGAGGGGCGTGGAGGAGGGGGAGATAGGCGAGACGCGGGTGGTATCGCGTCACCGGCGCACGCGGAGAAACTCTCGATCCACATCGTCCCTGGAAGTCAATCTGACGGCCGAGGACCTTCCGCTGGCTCTTGGCGGTGGTTTTGCTGGTTTTGCCGGTGCTGGTACTGCTAGTGTTGGTGTAGGTGGTGCTGCTGTTGATAGTGCTGCTTCTGCCACTGCTGCTTCTGACACTGCCACCCACCCAAATGCTGTTGCTACTGCTGCCGCTACAGTCGCTGCTACAGCCGCCTCTGACGCTGCTACAGCCGGTGCTACAGCCGGTGCTGCAATTCGTGGTGGCAGGGGCGCGTTCGTGGGGGGTTACTATCACGCGCCGCGCACCATAGCAGGCATGGATGTGTGGGACGATGATGATTCGTCGTACGGCGACCTGCCAATCGGTGTCTCTGGTCGCATCTGCTCTGCGGTAGGCTTTGGGGCCATGGCGAGAACAGCGGATGCAGAGGCAGGGGCAGGGGCAGGGGCAGGGGCAGGGGCAGGGGGAGGGGGAGGGGCAGGGGGAGGCGCAGGCGAGTTGGGATTAGGGTTGGGGGATGTGAGGGTGTCACGGTCGTTCCCCGCGCCGTGTGCCCTTGCTGCCAGTGACTCGTGCCCTGCTCCCCCGCTTCCCAAGAGCAGACTACACGCAAGTCAGGGGGGTGCTGTGAGTAGCGAGACTGGCGCTGGCGCTGGTGCTGGTGATGTTGCCTGCACGGGTAGGCTCAGCAGTGGCAGCACTGTCAGCAGCATCGCCAGTATAATCAGCACCGGCAGCACCACCACCATTGGCAGCAGCAGCAGCAGCAGCAGCAGCAGCAGCAGTCAATACGAGCCCAACCCGCTCTCTCACCCATTGACTTTTTCCATGCCTTTCCCCTCCAACCCACTCGCTCACTCTCCCGTCCCTCTTCCCCCAAACATAAACCACTCCTTCCCTTCCCCTCTCTCCGCCTCCCTCCCTCCCCAACCCTCTCTCGCGCCTAAGCCCTCTCCCTTCCCCTCCCCTTCCCCCTCCCATCTCTCCAAACCCCCCCTTGCCCCTCCATCGGCCACCGCCTCCCCTTCTCCTTCCCCTTCCCCGTCCCCTTCCCCTTCCCCCTCCCCTTCCCCTTCCCCCAACGCCCTTCCTCCCCACTCCCCTTTCCCCCGGATGCCAAACCCCCGCATCGCGTCCCCTCTCGCCCCTGCTCCTCCCTCTGCTTCCCTTCCTACTGCTGCTCCTCCCACTGCTGCCATGCTCCCCCCACTCCATCCCTCCGCCGCCCCACCTGTTCCCCGCCCGGCTGCGGGATCTGATTACGAATCGTGGGTGGTGGATAGCGGCGCTTGGGGGGCAGCAAGTGGGGAGTGCCGCCCGGGTGCAGATGGTGCGGGGATGGGTGCAAGTGGTGTGGGGATGGGTGCAGATGGTGCGGGGATGGGTGCAAGTGGTGTAAGGATGGGTGCACCTGCTGGAGGGATGGCAGAAGGGGCAGTGGCAGCAGCAGGGGCAGCAGGAGGGGCAGCAGCAACACCATATGCACCAACCTCGCACCAAGCACTGGCTTATATTGGCCTGCAAGAGTATCACCAGGGGAGCACGCCTCAATTCCAACAATCATATATCGGCCCGCAAGGGTACTATGAGGATGAAGGGGAGGAGGATGAGTATGGCGCACCTGTTGATGCGTATGGTAACCGGGTAACCGGTAATCCGGCCCCTCTGCTGCCGCTCTCTGCCCCGGTTTACTCGCCCTACCCTCCCTTTCTTTCCTCAGCCGCTCAATACAGTAACACTGTGTATAACGGACCTGTCTACAGTGATGCCGGCTACAGTAACGCTGGTTATGGCGAGGGGGGAGCAAGCGGGCAAGAGGGCGACAAGGGGAGTGAGGGGCAGGAGGGGAAGGAGGGGAAGGAGGGGAAAGAGGGGCGATCAAAGGCCAAGAGCTTGCATGTGAGGCATGTGTCTATGGACGGGCAAGGGGAGACAGATGCTTCGGACTCTGCTTGTGCCGCTGGGATGGGTATGGATGGCATGGGTGCCGCTGGGTCGGCTGGTGCTGGGGGTGGTATCCGGGTTAAATGGGCACGACGGGGGCTGGGGACGAGTGTAGGCAAGGGAGGAGGAGGCGAGGGAAGGTTTGGAGGAGTGCACGTGCCGTGGGGGGTGCGGGGGAGTCGGGCAGGGGGAGGAAGGGGAGGGGGAGGGGGAGGGGGAGGGGGAGGGGAAGGGGGAGGGGGGGAGGGGAGGGGGGAGGGTGAGGGGATCGGGGCCAATTCTGAGAAATGCATGGAGAATTATTAGAAGCAGCTCGCTTAGCGAGAGGCAGGGTGAAGGGGACGATGCCAATGCTGCTGCTGCCGCTGCCGCTGCTGCTGGTGGTGCCGGTGCGGCTAGTGCTGGTGGTTATGGTCCCGGTGGTGGTGCTTTTACTGCTGCTGCTGGTGGTGCCGGTGGTTCTGCTTCAGTAGGGAGTGCTGCGACTGCCTGTGATGGTGGGATGCTGCTGGGAGGGGAGCGGGAGCGGGAGGGCGGGAAGCGGTGGTTGCTGGGAGGTGGAGGGGGGAAGGGTTTGTGGAAGGGTGGACTGAGGGTGAGAAGGGAGGGGGGGGAAGGAAGTGGTCATGGGGGGAGAGGGCTACACCACGGTTCACAACACCATGGGGGTATGTTACAGGGTACACCTCCGGTTACACCGCCTGGTGTGCCTACTCCAGGAGGAGCGTTTTAAGCGAGGGTGATTACACCAGGGAAGCACATTGGGCTAGGGTGACTACAACAGGAGGAGCACACCTGATCTGGGTGACTACACAGTGATGGGCGCATTGGATTGAAATTACTACCCGGATATTCACTACAGTGGACTTGATTATGTGTGACGGTTACATTTTGGGTGTGTGTCGCATCGTGCGACCAAACTTAAGAGGCAGACGCTTGTGTTTTGAGTGTAAGTCGGTTTGCTGTTGGGGTGAGTGGGATACATGTACCACTGTCACGGATTACTGTACCATGGTGTTTGCACAAGCAAAGTGTGCCACATGATTGTTTGTTAGTCATATTTCAGGCAATACAGCGATGCTGTTGGCATTGTTCGCTTTGATATTCTGGTGACACTTTGAAAAGTGCACTTTTCTCTTCAGGTGAAAGCATACCGCACAGCGTATATGAGGTGAGCTGATGACAAATAGAGAGTGTAGGCCAACCGATCATACGGTAGGTAGTGAACAAATGTACCCGACATCGCCCGGATATAAGACAGTGTCGAATTGAAGACAGGGGGTGTCGTTAAAACGGGTGTTTCTTATAGATGGGTGTTCCTGATTATAAGACAACTGTCGGTGTGTACGAGTTGAGCCAGTATAGGGGTTAGGGGCAATCTTATGACGAGGGGGTATCTTCTAAACGGTTTTTTGTCCATTTATAAGAACTATAAGACACCCTAAACCGTCCCAATTACAAGACACAGCAAGCTTTTTTTCTAATGTATAAGATAAGACATATATGTCTTCTATCCGGGCGATGACGGTAATTGTCCGCACTGATCCTGCTTCTTTCGAGTATTGAATGTGACCACCATGTACCCGTACATAGTGTTACGATCGGAACGAATCATCACCTAGGATCGCCTCGGGACGATTCGCACACAATCGTAAGGTAGTGGTGGGCCCTTGACCTCAATTCAGAGTGAATGTAATATGAATGAGATAATTTAAAACATGCAAACAAGAGATACAAATAGTAGCACAAGGGAACACCAAACGACTTAGCTAGCCATGTCAAAACATTATAGCTTATACATTTGTGTAGGGTACAACCCAATTAGGGGTACAACCCAATTAGGGTTAGTACTTGTACCCAGCTGTTTCATAGTTCAATCATTCTCTCGTTCTAATCTTCACATGGTATAGAGCTGGTTCCCTCGTGGGAACTGTTCCTAGGGCCCACCGTTTTTTTTTCCTGCCCGGAGCACGCTTGGCCCCTGCCCGAGTCGCGCCCCGTGTCGTTCCCCCCTCGCGGCCACTAGCGGCCCCTCTTACGGCCCCTAACGTCCCCGTCGCGCCGCCCTTGCGGCCCCGTCGCGCCGCCCTTTAAGCGGCTCCGTCGCCGCCCCTTACTACGGCCCCGTCGCCGCCCTTTCAGCGACCCCGTCGCCGCCCTTTCAGCGGCCCCGTCGCCGCCCTTCCGCGGCCCCGTCGCCGCCCTTCCACGACCTCGCCGCCCGCCCTTGCAGCGGCCCCGTCACCGCCCTTCCGCGGCCCCGACGCCGCCATTCCATGGCCTCGTCGCCGCCCTTCCGCGACCCCGTCGCCGCCCTTTCAGCGGCCCCGTCGTCGCCCTTTCAGCGGCCCCGTCGCCGCTCGCCCTTTCAGCGGCCCCGTCGCTGCCCGTCCGCGGCCCCGTCGCCGCCCTTCAGCGGCCCCGTCGCCGCCCTTCAGCGGCCCCGTCGCCGCCCTTCCGCTACCCAGTCGCCGCCCTTTCAGCGGCGCGTCGCCGCCCTTTCAGCGGCCCGTCGCCGCCCTTTCAGCGGCCCGTCGCCGCCCTTTCAGCGGCCCCATCGCCGCCCTTCCACGGCCCCGTCGCCGCTTAGCCGCCTAGAGCCCAGCCACCGAGCAGCCGAGCCGCCGAGCAGCCGAGCCGCCCTGCAGCCGAGCCGCCCGACCGCCGAGCCGCCCAACAGCCGAGCAGCCAATCAGCCGAGCCGCCCGACCGCCGAGCCGCCCTGCAGCCGAGCCGCCCAGCAGCCGAGCCGCCGAGCCGCACCGCAGCCCACGCGCTGCCGCCTGTCGGCCTGCCCGGGACTGCCCCACTTGCCTGGTAAGAGCAGCGCCTCTGCCACTGCACTGCCCTGCCCCACTGTACTCGCTGCCTGTCTACTGCTGTCATAGCCTCCCCTAGTGTTCTCACCTTTGACGCTGAGGGTCGGGCAGTTGACTTTGAGGTCTGGGTAGATGATCTGCAGCTTTTCCTACAGTGCGATAGGGCAGACGGTCTCTCCTTGTTTGACCTCACTTCTGGTGCCTCTCCTGCCCCTGTTGCTGATGCTGACGCCACTGTTCGCTCACAGTGGGCCACGCGTGATGCTGCTGCTCGCCTTGCTGTGCGCCGCCACTTACCGACCACTGAGCGTGCACACTTTAGCTAGTACAAGAGTGCTCAGACCTTGTAGATCTTAGCCTCACAACTGGAGCCGAGAAATGAAGACGAGCGTGTAGAACACCAGGAAACCGAACCAGAGCCAAGGCTGAAGGTGTAACCCTGTGACGACCGCTGCGTAGGTAGGTCGTCAACCCAAGAAGCGTCCGAGAGCCCAGTGAGGACAACTGGGCTCCGCTCTCCAAGCACGAGCCCCATGCCCGATGTACTGCACAAGTAGCGCAGTACCCTCGTAGCAGCATCCATGTGCACCTTTCGATGCCTACCAGGAGCCACGTAGCGAGCCAGAAGGCCAAGAGGGTACGCAAGGTCAGGTCGAGTGCAGGTCATCAGGTACATGAGGCAGCCCACTAGCTCTGGGTATGGGCCACTCGGCTCTACGGACTCGTCCGAAGGTGGAGCTGAGAGCGAGTGGCCTATGGTCAGAGGAGTGTGCTGTGGCGAGGACCAGGTGAAGTCGAAGCGCTGAAGGACCTGCGGAACCATGTCTGACTGAGTCAGTGTGATGGTGCGGCGTGCTCTGTCCCGGGTGATCTGCAAGCCAAGGTAGCTGCGCAGCTCACCCAGGTCTGTGCACGTGTGTCTCTTTTGCAGCTCCGACTTCACCAGGGTGAGAGCCTCAGGGTCAGTAGTGGCGAAGACCAAGTCGTCGACGTACAGGCGGATGTTGAACATCGGCATGTCAGAACATTATAGCATATACATTTGTGTAGGTTGTAGTGGGGTAGCCCATAAGGGGTACAACCCAATTAGGGTTAGTACTTGTACCCAACTCTTTCATAGTTCAATGATTCTCTCGTTTCATTCTTCACATGGTATAGAGCTGGTTCCCTCGTGGGAACTGTTCCTAGGGCCCACCAACTTTTTTTTCCTGCCCGGAGCACGCTTGGCCCCTGCCCGAGTCGCGCCCCGAGTCGTCTCCCCTCTAGCGGCCTCTAGCGGCCCCTAACGGCCCCGTCGCGCCGCCCTTGCGGCCCCGTCGCGCCGCCCTTGCGGCCCCGTCGCGCCGCCCTTGCGGCCCCGTCGTGCCGCCTTTGCGGCCCCGTCACACCGCCCTTACGCGGCCCCGTCACGCCGCCCTTGCGGCCCCGTCGCGCCGCCCTTGCGGCCCTGTCGCGCCGCCCCCTTACACGGCCCCGTCACGCCGCCCTTGCAGCCCTGTCACGCCGCCCTTGCGGCCCCGTCGTGCCGCCCCTTACGCGGCCTCGTCACGCCGCCCTTGCGGCCCAGTCGCGCCGCCCCTTGCGGCCTCGTCGCCGCCCTTCCCTTCGGCCCCGTCGCCGCCCTTTCACGGCCTCGCCGCCCGCCCTTCCAGCGGCCCCGTCGCCCGCCCTTCAGCGGCCCCGTCGCCCGCCCTTCAGCGGCCCCGTCGCCCGCCCTTTTAGCGGCCCCACCGCCGCCCGCCCTTTCAGCGGGCCCAGTCGCCGCCCTTTCAGCGGCCCGTCGCCGCCCTTCCCTCGGCCCGTCGCCGCCCTTCCCTTGGCCCTCCGCTGCCCTTTCAGAGGCCAGTCGCCGCCCTTTCAGCGGCTTGTCGTCACCCTTTCAGCGGCCCTATTGCCGCCCTTCCACGACCCCGTCGCCGCCTGAGCAGCCGAACCGCCGAGCCGCCGAGCCGCCCAGCAGCCGAGCCGCCCGAACACCGAGCCGCCCAGCACCCGAGCCGCCCGACCGCCGAGCCGCCCAGCAGCCGAGCCGCCGAGCACCCGAGCCGCACCGTAGCCGAGCCGCCCGACCGCCGAGCCGCCCAGCAGCCGAGCCGCCTGACCGCCGAGCCCCCGAGAAGCTGAGCCTCCCGACCGCCGAGTCGCCGAGCCGCCCGACCGCCCCACTTGCCTGGTAAGAGCAGAGTCTCTGCCACTGCACTGCCCTGTCCCACTGTACTCACTGCCTGTTTATTGCTGTTATGGCCTCCCCTAGCGTTCTCACCTTTGACGCTGAGGGTCGGGCAGTTGACTTTGAGATCTTGGTAGATGATCTACAGCTTTTCCTACAGTGCGATAGGGGAGACGGCCTCTCCCTGTTTGACCTCAATTCCGGTGCCTCTCCTGCCCCTGCTGCTGATGCTGATGCCACTGTTCGCTCACAGTGGGCCACGCGCGATGCTGCTGCTCGCCTTGCCGTGCGCCGCCACTTACCGACCACTGAGCGTGCACACTTTAGCCAGTACAAGAGTGCTCAGACCTTGTACGACGCTGTAGTTGCACGCTACTCTTCCCTTGCCACTGCTGCACTAAGCCGCCTCATGCTACCGTACCTCTTCCCTGACCTTGCTCCCTTTCCCACTGTCGCTGACCTCATTACGCACCTCCGCACTAGTGACACTCGCTACCGCGCTGCGCTTCCTGCTGAGTTCTGCGCCAAGAACCCCCCCCCATGTACATCACCCTCTACTACATAGTCACTCGGCTCCCTGACTCTCTCCGCGTAGTCAGGGACCACTTCCTCTCATTTTGCCCCACCACTCTCACCGTTGACCTCCTCGAGAAGGCCCTCCTAGCGGCAGAGAAGAGCATAGTCGCTGTAGGAGCCTCTCGTGGTGACCCTCGCACCCCCGTCTTTGAGGGGTGTTCTCCCTCCCCCCTCTTGCCCTCTGTTGCTTCTGCTGCTGCGGCCGACCTCGTTGGCTTCGAGTCGATTGGCGCTGCGTCTGCCCTAAGCGGGAGACGCTGCACCGACAAGGGCAAGGGGGACAAGGGCGCTGGAGGGGCTGGCGGGGGCGGTGGAGGTGGTGGTGGAGGCAGTGGAGGGAGTGGGGGTGGTGGTGGGAGTGGTGCCGGGGGTGGCGGCGGCGGCGGCAGTAGTGGAGGCGGCGGAGGCGGTGGTGGTGGCGGAGGGAGCGGAGGCGGCGGAGGTGGCGGAGGAGGCGGAGGTGGAGGAGGCGGCGGAGGCGGCGGTGGCGGCGGCGGTGGTGGAGCGGGTCGCGACTCTGCGCAGAGGAGTGGCTCAGGTGGTGGTTCGCGCCAGCAGCAGCGGAGTGGTGTGACCCTATCCCCTCTGCAGCTTCGTGAGTGGTACACTGCGCGTCAGCGCGGTGGGGGTTTTGGTCCCTGCACTTACGTCCTCCGTACCGCCGACCAAGCTGGTGAGCAGTGCGGAGGCCCGCACTCCACCCAGCGCTGCTTCGGTCGCCTGACGGACGCGTGGAGTCGCCAGTTCCCTGAGGCGAAAGAGATCCCTCGATTGGGAGATCTATCTAGGGCGGGGGTTGCCGTCTTTGATCTTGACTATGATGCTATCCTTGCTGCCATGTATTCTGTGACTACTAGTGTTGAGGGTGACTGTTACCTGTGTGTACCGCCTGACCCGGGCATTGAGGCTAGTGCTCTAGGTAATGGTGAGGCTGCTGCTCTAGGTGCTAGTGCGTCTGCTGCCCCAGGTGCCAGTGCGTCTGCTGCCCCAGGTGCCAGTGCGTCTGCTGCCCCAGGTGCAAGTGCGTCTGCTGCCCCAGGTGCTGATGAGTCTGCTCTCTCAGGTACTACCTCGGCTCAGGCCTTCCACACCTTCACCCTTGACTCGGGCGCGTCCCGCTCCTTCTTTCAAGACCGCACCACTCTTACGCTGCTCAGTCAGCCAGTTGCAGTCTCCTTGGCAGACCCCTCTGGGGGTCCTGTCCTTGCTAGCTTCTCCACTGTCTTACCGTGCCCGGCGGCCCCCTCTGGCACCTTGTCAGGTCTCTACCTGCCCTTGTTCTCTACGAAATTGGTGAGTTGAGCGGACCTACAGGATAGGGGGGTTGACCAGTTCTGTCCTGCGAGTCAGCGAGTGACCCACTACACGTGTGCTCGGACAGGCCGACACTTGGCCACGTTCACTCGTCGGCCAGGGTCAAGCCTGTACACCCTTACTGCTGAGTCTCCTCCTGCTGCTGAGTCTGCCCAGGTAGCTGCGTCGAGTTAGGTGTTTGCTACAGCATCCAGGTCTGGTCGTGAGTTTGCTCCCTGCTCGTGTCGTCTGCTGTCCCACAAGACTCTCCTTTGGCACCACTGCCTTGGTCACCCCTCCCTGCCTCGTTTCCGCGGCATGGCCTCCCGTGTCCTTGTCTCTGGTCTCCCTCGGTCTCTCCCTACCCTACCTCCGAGGCATGGCCCTACCTGCATCCCCTGCGTCAAGGGGCGACAGCGCGCCGCCCCTCACTCCTCCGAGTTTCCTACGACAGAGGCTCCGCTGGAGACTCTCCACATGGACGTGTGGGGCCCAGCCCGCGTCAGTGGGCAGGGGCGCGAGCGGTACTTCCTGCTGGTGGTTGACGACTACTTGCGTTACACCATAGTCTTCCCCTTGCGTAGCAAGGGTGACGTCACTGAGATGTTGATCGACTGGATCCACGAAGCTCGTCTACAGCTCAGAGGGAGTTTCGGCTCGGACTTTCCTGTTCTGCGTCTGCACTCAGACAGAGGCGGGGAGTTTTCCTCTGCTCGTCAGGGAGCCTTCTGT